ATGGAACGTTTTGTTCAATTTAAAAGGAAGTCGGGCTATGGGGTCTGCGCTGATATAATAGATTAATAGATGCAGAAAATTACGGTATTTATGGATAGATTTGATTGAATATTGGTTGAATTAATAAAAGGCAGGTGTAGGGAACTAGTATTTATAGTATGGACTGATAGAAAGACAAGCAATATGTAAATCGGAATAAAAACGTTTTGCTAAAATAATGGCCGGGTTAAAAGATTGTCGGACTAGGAGTCGTGTACTTGTAGAATGAATTGAGAGAATGAGAAATAAGAAATGAAGAAAAATGGTTTCCTTGTATTTTTGTCGGAATAAAACAAGTTCGAACTGCAGGAATTATAGTTGTAAAATTGACAGATATGTTCATAAATACGGCAAGGTCACTGAAAAAAATTCCCAAATACCGACTGTGGAAGCGATCATCGTCTTGTCATATGTAAACTAAGAGTGAAACTATGGAAACTGAAGAATCCTAACGCAGCACCCAAATTGCAAAACAGCAAAATCCTGAGCGACCCGTACCTGAAAGAAAAATATCTGGACAGTGTGAAAAGATGATACGAGGGACACAATGAAAATGGAAACTCGAATTGGGACGCAAGAGAAGCGTTAGTGACATGAGCAAATGATATCATCCCAAAGGAGAATGGATGAAGACGAAAGGACGACTGGATGACTGATGAGATTCACGCCATGATGCAAAGGAGACCGAAAAATCTGTCAAGATACGAAACGGAAGACAGAAAACTACACAACGAAATAAGAACCATGTTAAAGAAGAGTAGCTAAGCAAAATATGTGAAGAAATAGAGAGATTGAGTACTACAAATAAAGGAGATATGCATAAAAAAATAACACAATTAACAGAGCAGAAGACATACTCGTCAACAAGATGCATAAAATCCAAGGATAGTACGTTCATATTAGTGAAGGAAAAAAATTCTTCAGCACTGGAACGAATATATACTTACAGGTTCACAAATACAGAAAGGTCACTGCAAAAAATCCCAAATGCCAACTGCGAAAGTGACCACCCCCGTCACATGTAAACTAAGTAATGTAATAAAATAACTAGTCACCCCCATGAATGATTATACTATAGGTAGTAAGTACCTATAAAGTCAACTTCCTACGAGAGACTTGAGGAAGAGTGAGAGTGAGAAGACGCAAACACGCCCGACCCTCCAATTAGTGGCACTCACTACTAGATTGACCTGTGTGTATAACTGTACCGTATTTCATATTGTACTGGTTGTGTACAATAAACGTTTCTTCTATTATCAACCTGGTGTTAAGTATTTATTCTCTTATCACAGAATATAACACTAAGAGTGAAACTATGGAAACTGAGGAAGCCTAACGTAACACTCAAATTACAATACAACAAACTCCTGACCGACCCGTACCTGAATGAAAAATATCTGGACAGTGTGAAAAGATGATACGAGGGACACAATGAAAATGTAAACTCGAATTGGGACACAAAAGAAGCTTTAGTGACATCAGGAAACGATATCATCCCAAAGGGGAATGGATGAAGAAGAAAAAACGATTGGATGACTGATGAGATTCTCGCCATGATGCAAAGGTGACAGAAAACTCTGCCAAGATACGGAATACAGAAAACTATACAAAGAAATAAGAACCAAATACAGGAAGGCTTAGAAAGAGTGGCTAAGCGAAAAATGTTCAGAAATAGAGAGATTGAGTACTACAAATAAAGGAGATATGCACAAACAAACAAGGCAACTAACAGGACAGAATACATGCTCGTCAACAAGATGCATAAAATCCAAGGATGAAACTCTGATATTAAAGAAGGAAACAAAAATAATTCTTCAGGGCTGGAATGAATATATTGGAAAACTCTTCTATGACGAAAGAGAACAACCAGTAATATACAGATATACCGATGGACCTGAAATTCTAAAAAACGAAGTAGAAGCAGCAATGGCCAAATTGGACGGAAACAAGGCGGTAGGGCCAGGCGGAATAGTAACAGAGATGCTGATAGTCTTAGATGATTTTGGCATAGACAAGATTACGGTAATAATAAATGAAATCTACAACAGAAAAGAAATACCGGAAGATCTGAAAAGATCTATTTTTATAGCACTGCTTAAAGAACCAGGTGCAGACGAATGTGAACTCCACTGAACAATCAGCCGATTGAGCCATATAAGAAAACCCATCATCCGTATTCTGATGAATAGAGTGCTCATCAGAATAGGGTCTGAGATAGGACAGGAATAAAACGGGTTCGTTGAAGACACCGGAAAAAGGAACGCGATATTCATGCTCTGAATGTCATCAGAAAGGGTAATAAAAATGCAGAAGGATGGAACGCTAATATTAAAGACGAAAAATAATTCTTAAGCGCTGGAACGAATATATTGGAGAACTCTTCCACGACGACAAGGAACAACCAACAATAAACAGAATTATCGACGGGCCTGAAATTGTAAAAACCGAAGTAGAAGATGCACTGGCGATATTGAACAGAAAAAAAAAGCGGCAGGGCCAGACGGAATTGTAACGGAGATGCTGACAACATTAAATGATTTTAGCATAGACAACATTACAGAAATAATCAATGAAATCTTCGGCTGTGATGACATACGGCAAGATCTCAGTAGATCTATTTTCATAGAATTGCATATGAAACCAAGAGCAAACGAATTAGAACTCCACTGAACACACAGCATAATGAGCCACATAACAAACTCATCATCTGTATTCTGATGAACAGAGCCGGCAGCAGAATCAGGCCAGAGATAGGACAAGAACAGTGCGGGTTCGTTAAAGACACCGGAACATGGAAATTGAAATTCATGCTCAAAATGTTATCAGATAGAGCAATACAAATGCAGAAGGAACTTCTAAGCAACCTTGAAATATTTGCGAAATATACCAGAATAATCAAGAACCTATACTGGCAGCAAAAGACCTGCGTGCGGATAGAGAATGAGTTCAACAGATATACAGAAATAAAAAAAAAGGGGCGTAAGGCAGAGATGCGTCTTCTCTCCGGACCTAATCAACCTATACAGTTTTCATCATTGGCAGCCACAATCTTAACAGGATAAGATAGGCAATGACACATTGTTGATAAATAGATGATGCGGAAAGGAAATTGCAAACCCTCCTACAGAAGGTAGGGAAGGAGAGCAAGAAGAAAGGACTAACCATAAGCTACAAGAAGACAGAATGCATTGTCATCAGTAAAAGGATGAGCCCAAAATGCGATTTACAGGTCGAGAACACTAAAATCAAGCAGGTGCTGAAATTTGAATATCTGGGAAGAGTTCTGACAAAGGACGGTAATTCCGACTGTGAGATTTGAAGACGTTTTGGGATAGCCAAAGACGCATTCCAAAAGCTAGGCAGAGTATTACGAAACAGAAGGATTTTCGTTGTTAACAAAGAAAACTGTGCTGAACTGCTACGTGTTATCTGTCGTCCTTTACGGCAGCGAATGTTAGACGGTCACCTCAAAGATGAAGAAGAGGGTCGAGGCAAAAGAAGTGTAGGTCTACACAAGAATGGTAAGGATACCATGGACTGAACATGTGAGCAAAGATGGGGTTTTGGAAAGGATACAAACAAGGAGGAAGCTTATACTTAACATCAGGAAGAGGCAGCTGAAATTTCTGGGACACGTAATGAGAAAAGAAAAGACTCGAGGCAACGGAGGTATGGTTCTACAGAAGGATGCTAAGGATACCATGGACCGAGTATGTGAGCAATGATGTGGTTTTGATGTAGATACAAGCAAGAAGGAAGCTTATACTTAACATCAGGAAAAGGCATCTGAAATTTCTGGGACAAACGATGAGAAAGGTGGGATTGGAGAATCTGATACTCACAGGGCGTATTGAGGGAAAGAGAGAAAAAGAAAATCAACGCATGACATACCTAGCGAGCTTAAGCAAGTGGATAACAAAACAGGGTTGGGGAGAAGTAACAAAAGGACAAAACATATAGAGAACTTTAAAGAATAGGGAAAAGTGGAGAGCCATGATCGCCTACGCCGTGAAATGACACGGTAAATAAAGGAAGAAAAATAAGTTATTCTGATCAAATGTTGGTCATAATTAAATTTATTTTCATACGAGTTTCTGGCCTAAAATTTGGTTTATATGATTTGAAATATTATAAATGGAGCCTAGCAGTTTTGAAAAGAAATAAAATGATTTCATTTTGAGTCCAGTTTCTTTATTGAATTTCGTATAAATCTGGTTTTATAGCATTGCAGATCTAAATTATCAAACGACATTCGTAAGACTGAAGACAAATAAATTTACTTCCTTTTCGTACCAGCTTCATTAATCTATTTATTTTAATACTGGTTTTACAGGATTGGAGATTTTGTGCATCAATCAACCCCCGTAATTTTGAAGAGAAATAAATATATTAAATTTTGATACATGTTTCATTATTCTGTTTAGCTTAATACTTGTATTATTTTATTGGAATGATTACTTATCAATCAACCATTGTAATTTTGAAGAGAAATAAATTTATTTCATTTTGATACCGGCTTCATTATTCTATCCGGTTAAAAACTTGATTTATATCAGAGGAGATCATACGTTATCAGACAACCGTCGTAAATTCGAACCCCGTCAAATAGATCCGTGATTTTATTATTGAGCTTATTAAAACTGCATCTTTGGACATCGAAAACATTTTGGATAATCAATATAATTAGAGATTTAATAAAATTTCAACAAAGTCATTGTCAGCCATTCTATCCCTTGGAGCCTTTTTCTGTTTTCTCTCTTGGGATACTTGTTCTCATCCATTCTTTTATTGCCAAAGAGAATATTAGCGAAACACCAGACATATTTGTTATTTTTGACATCATATTCTTATTACATTTTTTTTTCCAAGCACGGTTTTGTTTTCCAAAACTCTTATTTATTTGCGGCACGTTTTTTGGTAAGTCGGACAATGTTGCATCGGTGGCCAGCTGGGAATTTTAGTGCCGCATTAGAATTGCTGAACGATCTATCTATCTATCTATCTATCTATCTATCTATCTATCTGTTTCAGTCGTTTATCTATCTATCTATATATCTGTTTCAGTCGTTTATCTATCTATCTATCTATCTATCTATCTATCTATCTATCTATCTATCTATCTATCTGTTTCACGCGTTTATCTATCTCTCAATCTATCAATTTCAGTCCTTATCTATCTATCTATCTATTTCAGGCATTTAGCTATCTATCTATCTATCTATCTATCTATCTATCTATCTATCTATCTATCTATCTATCTATCTATCTATCTATCTATCTATTTCAGGCATCTATCTATCTATATATCTATCTGTTTCAGTCGTTTATCGATCTATCTATCTATCTATCTCTTTATCTATCTATCTGTTTCAGTCGTTTATCTATCTATCTATCTATCTATCAATTTCACGCGTTTATCTATCCATCCATCTATCTCTCAATCTATCAATTTCAGTCCTTTTCTATCTATCTATCTACCTATCTATCTATCTATTTCAGGCATCTATCTATCTATATATATATATATATATATATATTTCAGGCTCTATCTCTCAATCTATCAATTTCAGTCCTTTATCTATCTATCTATCTATCTATCTATCTATCTATCTATCTATCTATCTATCTATGTATCTATCTATCTATCGACAGAGAAATAGATAGATTGCTAAATGGATAATGAACTAGTTGTGATAGAAATATATACATTACAGTTCAAAATGTTGCGGCTATTTTTTAAATTAGTCCCAAAAATATGATGCATGCTTAACAGAAGTGATTGTAGATATATCTAGATATACATAGACAAATGATGAACAGGCATATATATATATATATATATATATATATATATATATATATATATATATATATATCGATATCCACAGCTTATCTTTTGGGTTAGACATCCGATTGCTTCAAGCCGGGATCGCAACCCGAACGATTGGTATATATATATATATATATATATATATATATATATATATATATATATATATATATATATATATGTATGTATAAAATAATAATAATAATAATTTGCAGGTCAGGAACATTAGAATTAAGCAGACACAGAAGTTTATAAACCTGGGAAGCGTCTTGACATCCCAGGTAATGTTGCGGAGTCTGGACTGAAGGCACGCTAAAGCACTATGTTCACCTTCTCAAGTTCCCCAAGTTTGTGCTTGTTGGCACAGGCACTGGGGCATTGCCATGCTGAAGGAGCACGCCCCTTCGACTGGCCAATTCCTGATATCGGGCTTCAAAATAATCAAACACTCGCTGCAGTGTTTGGGACAAGCTGAAAATGCAACACCTACCTCGAAATTCCAGCAAACAAAGAAACATACATTCTGTTTAAACCGCCCTTGATTGACAACATGTTCTGCAACGTGCTCGGAGTGATTTATCTGATTACAATTAGCTAACCTTGGTGGCCACAATCTTAATAACATAAGATACGCAGATGACACAGTACTGCTAGAGAACATGGAAAAGAAACTACGAAATATACTACAGAAGATGGCGACGGAGGGCGCGAAGAAAGGACTAAGCATAAACTAAAAGAAGACAGAATGCATGGTAATCAGTAAAAGGATGATTACGAAATACGATTTGAAGGCTGGGAACACTAGAGGAGGGTAAGTGCGATACCGAGATCCATAGACGTATTAGGTTGGCCAAGGCACATTCCAAAAGCTGAGCAGAATATTTCAAGACTGGAGGATTTCTTTGGTAACAAAGAAACGAATACTGAGCTGTTACGTGACATCTGCCCTTCTTTAAGACAGCGAATGTTGGACGATTTCCTCAAAGATGAAGAAGAGCCTCGAGGTGACAGAAATGTCGTTTTACAAAAAACTGCTGAGGATATCATGGGCCGAGCGTGTGAGCAACAATGAAGTTAAAATTTCTGGGACACATAATGAGGAAGCAGAGCCTGGAGAATCTGATACTCACAGGTCGAATAGAGGGAAAGAGAGACATACCTGAGGAGCAGAACGTGGCCTGGGGGAGGAAGCAGAGGGAAGGAACTTGTTGAGAGCTGCAACGGATAGAGGGAGGTGGAGAGCCATGTTCGCCTACGTCCTGAAAAAACATGGCACATAAAAAGGAAAAATAATTTTTGTTGAAGATTTGATTGTGTTTTTTTTTTTTTTTGGTTTTTTTTTTTGTACCGTTGATGATGATCATGTCTTAAAAGTTTTCTGCAATGATTGATGAATTTTATTTTTTTGATTATATCACCCCGAGCAAGCAGGTAATGACACGTGTGCATAGCGGTGGGGGTTAAAATGAAAGTGAAAGTGAAAGTGAATGAGAAGACTAAACATATTGAGATTTGAGAAGAAGACAGAATATGAACGGAGTTCAAGAAGACAGAAGATGGCGATTGATGTTGCATTTAATTTTTTTTTAATTGTAGTTATCATTGAATCAAGTAAACGGAAGGGTTTTTCGCTGATGAGATCTGGAAAAGAAGCTTGTCGAGTAGAAGTGGCGAGTGCATTTAGCTATTATAAAGGTAAATGTGTGGGACCTAGTTGCCAATTTAGTAGCACACTTAAATTCATGTAGTCAGAACACTAGGGACAAAATCTCGTCAGAGCAGTTGCCATGAAAATATTTTTGAAAGAACAGACGGAAGCCAGGTCACGACGATGATAAAGTGAGTGAAGTCTAGTCTAGATCTATTTTTTTATATTGTTGCTGCTAGGTGATATGCATCTATGTATTTGATGTCTTATAATGTTTTAATCTAGTTTGTTGATGCAGGTAAAATGGTTTAATAACACTTTTACCATCTTCTTATATTATGATGTTTGTTTTAGGCTTTTTGATTCTGTTTTTATATATGTTTCTCGCTTATGTGTTTGGGTAAATTATGATTAATTAATATTTGTTTATGTCTTCCATTTCGGTTATCGATAATTCATGTGCAAAAGATATGAAATGTGCTCTGTGTATTAACTTAATTATTACGGATAATTTTCTGTCTGGTCGCGCATTTAGTTTTTGCTTGGATTCCAGTTGGTTGTATTTTAATAGAGAAAAGCATCATTGTTTTTATTAATCAAAAGAATTAGAACGCCTAAAAGTACAATTATTTTATTTATATATCAAAAAAAAAATAAAGGAGAGAGTTCATTTCGAATATTACCCTCAGCATTTTGCTTCCGTCTTTTTAGTTAGTTAATTAGCTCATACACACACACATATATATATATATATATATATATATACATATATGTATGTATATATATACACTTATATATATATATATATATATGTATAACCAACCCATATAACATTATATATATATATATATATATATGTGTGTGTGTGTGTGTGTGTGTATAACCTACATATATAACTATATATATATATATATATATATATATATATATATATATATTTATATAACCTATCTATATAACCATATATCTATATATATATATATATATATGTGTGTGTGTGTGTGTGTGTGTGTGTGTGTGTGTGGCACCATTGAACGAGGCAGAAAAGGAAAAGAAAGAAAAGAAGGCAGAAAGAAAGGCGAGACGAATCGTGGATGATAAGCAGAACACACACACGGCTAAGAGACAATGGATATATTGATAAGTAACAAATGGCGAAAGGGTGTCATTACAATGACAGGGAAATTCTGAGTAAAAAGAAAGGGAAAGAAAGAATCAGATGTGTTTTGATAACGCCTGTGTTATCTAGGGGTACGTAAACAAACTGCTGGTCGACTGGCCAAAGAAAAATTCAAAGGAAAATGTTATTTCGATAAATGACGAAAAACAGGCAACTAAAAGGACTTTGGACAGATTTGAAAAATTAAAAGCCACACAAGACGTGTCCGCTGACCGATTTTTTTCGACGGAACATCCTTGGCCTGCGATAATAAAATTATGTTATCAGAAATATGTACCGAAAGGAAATGAATGGGAATTTAGAAATGTCTTTTCGGGGCGACGTTGGCCGTGTTAAGAAAACCACCCATTTTGATAATTGGCGATAAAATACCTGACGAAAACCACGTGTAGAACAAGAGTTATGACCGCCATTGTTCATATTGTCCCGTTTGCGGCTAGAGAAATGATAACGGCGATTAAGAGGAAGAAAAGGAAAAGAAGGGATGATTTTTTTTAGTTAAGCAAGATATTTGTTTTTCCTGAAACAAAGCCGCGGATTCGTCCACGCCCGACTAAGACATCATTTTAAGTATAGCTAAAACAACTAATACCATTTCAGGCATTACTGTAAATCAGTTGGCATATGTTTTCCGTGAACTGCAAAATCGTATTACCCTTCGTATTGCTAATGATGGAGGACATGTGTAAACTTAAATAAAATTTCAATAAAACCTTAAAAAATATAGATTTACTTCTTTCTAATCCTTTTTACAAATGATTTCTATCGCAAATACAAATAAATTGAGTATATATATATATATATATATATATATATATATATATATATATATATATATATATATATATACACACACAAGGTGCGAGGGCTAAATTATCGCCACTTAATGTGTTTACTTTCGCGCATGCGCGTTGTTTGTTTTAGATTTTGTTGACGGAACAATATAGTAGGGTTAATCGGGCACTGTCTGTGAGAAAAAGATCACCATGACGCAATTCACTCCGAAAGAAATTTGGGAACATCATGTTGTACTACTTGGCATTCGCGCCGGAATCTCCAACAAGAACATTTCATGGACTTTATGTCAATCTGAAACATCACAGAAGATTAGGAAATAGTAGGGTTTGGAGTGATCACTAGCTTCTAGTCAGTTTTTACACGGCCTCCGACATATTACGGGGGCCTTCATCAAGCGCCTTGATGAGATAGTGCTGCCCAGTGTCAAGATGGTGGATGCTGGAAGGCCCTATGTTTGACAACAGTAGTCTGCACCATATCACACAAACAGGAGAACTCACTCATAGCTGTCAGGCAATTTCTTCGACGACATCACTCATCTGACCACCTAACTCCCTAGACTGCTACACCCTTGTGGGACGAGGTTTAGCGAGCAGCCAACAAACCTCTTTTTTAAAACCAAAAGTAAACTCAAGGCAATGGTTTTGGCCGCATTCACCAACTTAAGCAAGTAGACAGTCCAGAAGAGTTGCAGGAAATTTCCAAGAGTTCTGAAGGCCGTGATTGAAGCCTATTTTAGTAAATATATCTGTTTAAATGAAATGTCAGTTATTTTTTTTATTTTTTTTGCGTAATTAAAACGGCAATTTATTCATCGCACACATTAATAATAATAAAGAAAAAGCCAACACTCAAACATATCAACTACGAATATGGCCACAACATGCTGACCGTGTTTTGAAAATGACTCATATTATATGTATATATATAATCTTCATATTCAGCTGAAAAATAATAATAAAAAGAGAACTGTGAATCAAAGATTTGTCAGTTCATATATACTTCATATGCTGAAAAGCTATCACTTGTATGAACGCAAGGGAAATAAAAAAAAATAGCTTAATCGCCGTAGACGGTCAGTCGTCTTCAGCCAAAGCTTGTATAAAATAGATTTTACTATATTTATATATATATATATATGGGGGGTGTCATAGAGAGATAGAGAGACAGTGATATGTATACACAGACATACAAGATTAATCTA